TAACTAGAATCTCCCATACGTTTATCATACAGATACCAAGGTTGTATTTTAGGTTTCGGTTCCTGTGCGGGTATATAAATTTGTATTTGCTTAGACCATAGAAATAATTACCTAACTTAACCAACAACCCCTGGCTACGCCACTGATAAAATCATCAATGCTGGTCAAGTAGAAATAATCTACTTGGGGTCTTGGGTGCCTATCATGTGCAAAAAATCTAATTTAAAGAAGGGTGCAAAAATAATCTCACCTCTTCTATTTTATACCCTAGTGCCTAGTCACTCACCCCAGCCGTCGTATTATTAACAATACAGGCGTATAGCCCTTATATATATATATATATATATATATGTGTGTGTCTACTACCTACATAAAATATTGTTTTTCTTTTCGAAATCCAAAGCAGTGCGGCTGTCGCTTATTGTGATACGAATATCGGAGTATATTATAACCGATGGATTATAGAAAACGCCATCTAGATATTCGTCGAATGGAGGAATTAGAACATTAAATTATATACATCTTGAACAATTGAATATTATATTTTAATATAATATAATATATATATATATTACCTATATTAAATTATTACTATACGTATGACTAATAGTCTTTATTTATTTTACCATGCTACAATGTAGTAATTAGATACATTCGATTAGGGGAACGACGCCTACACCAGCACGCGTTGTCTCTGCCTTACACACTCGTAAGTCGTAACATAGAAAAAAGTAAGATAGAAAATCTACGTACCGGATTCCACCTACAGTTTATTAAAAGAGCATTATTATAATATTAGAGCAAATTTACATATTTTTGACTTTGGAAAAAAAAGGTTTTTTTAAATTTATATATTTTTTAAACTAATTAAATAATTTTGAAAAAACAATATTTATCTACTTTATTTAAAAGTAAAAAAAGAATAGAAACTGTACTTGGTGAGTCCAAAAAAAACTGGGCACTTATATCCTCCTCTATACAAACTCAATAATAATATGTTTGATTTGATATCAACTATATTAATAATAAACTGCAAACAAACTGCAAACATTACTGCAAATAAACTGTATTGTAAGAATCAAGAATACGAGACTTATAGGTCTGCTGTTATAGGTATACGGGTGCAGCGTCCTCTTAAAAAATATTGTACAACAAAATGATATTCGGACTATATAATATCATGACCTGAGGTTACTGACTTCCAATTAATTAACTGTCAATTTACGTTAAATGTTTGTAATAATATTATAATAAATTAAACTGTCTTTTTTAAATTCAAACCGTCTTAGCACGATACATCAATAAGTTTCTTGTTACATTATATGATTTTGATTTTGGATTTATTATCCTGTACCCTTAGAACCCTCATAAAGCTTAATAACTTACTCATAAAGAGTTCTTACAAATTTCAGTTTATATAGGTAAATTAACATTTTTAAAAAGCCATCTGCTTCAAGACGAACGGATAAAAAAGGGCAGCTATCATTTGAGAAAAGAAACTTTCTTCATAAAAACAATCGAAGTGATTAAAAATGTGGTCACTCGAAGTAGGTGTCTTATTATGCTAAAACAATTTGAAAACATCAGAATCCGTAAAAATGCACGGTTATAGGTAAAAACAGGGGTGAGCGCTGAGCAATGAGCATGCTCGGTGAATCACTCAGTACGCCGTCCGCGGAGTCGTATCGTCGGGGCATCAATGTAACGACGTTACAAAATGTGCCGGCGATAAATGGGCGAGCGGAACGTCGCATTCTATTATTGTTGTTAATATTGTTGTTATACCATTATCGTTTTGCCGGCGGCGGAGCGTTAAGAGATTTGGCCGCGGTGCAGTGCTCTACGTCTCGGTTCTCTCTCCACGGTGGCGGCAGCGGTGATGCGCCCCTCGTCCGCCGCCGTGGATGCTTTTCACGGTGCAGCTCGCCGCATCCGGTGCCGCCGATGGATGCAGTCGTCGTAGTCTTCGTCCCGCAATGCCGCGGCCGGCGCGACAGCAGTTGGCCGCTCGCGCGCGGCACGGCGTTCCAGCGGGCGGCGAAGCGACAGCGTTGGCAACCTTCTTGGCACAATCCACCTCTCGCCCGGCGACGTGCAGAGTCCCTCAGTCTTGTATTTTCGTTCGCATTCCATTCCGACGATCTTCCTTCGCGTGCGCGCGCCCGAGACCAGTGTGACCAGTTGCCGCGCGTTCTTCCCGGAACGCCGCCGCTAATTATTGCGTACACTAATTCGAGTATTCGGCTGAGGCCTGCAATAAAATATACGAAGACAATAAGATAATATTATAATAATTGGACGACGGGCGAGCTGGAAAAAAAAATATACAATTTTACACACACGCTCGCGCCGTTGCGTGTACCTAAATAATAATTGTAATGAGGTAGATTTGCGATTTCGCAACAATCGTCACTGCGCGGTGCACTTGGCGCGACTTGTCCTCGGCCCGACGACGACGACTACGAGGAGGATGTGTGTTATTATTATTACTGGTTTGTCGGGCCAGTCCGCAGGTAGTTGCACGTGTAATACACCTTTTATGTGTCGGTCGTGCTCGCGTGTGTGCGTATAATATCATACCAAGTATAAGGCTGTGTAAGACTGCACTCATATTATGCGAGCAGCGAATAGGATATTATGCATTATGCATGAGGTTTGCGCGCGAAAAGTAAAATAAAAAATTAATAATCGCCGCCGCCCGGAGACCGCCCGACGGTAACGGCGATAATAATATAATATTATTGTAATGCATTCGGAACGAGTTGAACCGACGTCGTCTGCTCACGTTATTATTGTAGTCGTCGAAATATATTACGACCATTAACTACAGATACAATAACTTGGTCGCTCGCGTTTTTATATTTTACATTCCGGTTAATTAAAAATGACGCGGTTCCGTGGCATTCGGCATAATAATTTACCATGGACATCGTCGTCTCATAAATCGTGTTACGTTTTATTGTGCGGCGATTGTTGGCGGCCGCGGCTGGTGAACTAGAAAATCGGTCCACCATACCCTGAAATATTGCTATGCGCAATACCTACACGCTGCCGTCGTATAATATTTTATTAAAATAATAATATCGGGTGGTCGGTGTACCTCCGCGACACGGTCGATCACTGATTGCGACCACGGAGGCCAACAGCACATTTCGGACGGAAGAACAATATCTGTTGTCGGGCGTCGGCGGCGGTCCCGAGGAAGAGAAAAAAACATAACGAACCGCCGGTGACGGACGTGAGAAACAGAAAGATAAACATTACACAGTTCGGCATATATTATCATAATATGTGCATAATAAAAATACATGCACCGTGCATGTGTCGCATTACTGCAGTAACGAAATATAATAATAATGATCGCGATGGCGTTGTACTCGACACACGTTACCGTATCTCGGTGAAGTGCATACAGCGCGGTCGCGGTAAAATTATCTTCGTTGCAATAATATTAATATTGTAATGCGAGTGAGCGTGTGCATTCGATATAATAATATATTTTTATCGCAATAATAACACATAGTAATAATAATAATCGTAATAATCGTAATAATATTATTATTATAGTAAGTTGTTATGCATGCGCCGTCGGCCGTCGCCACCGCCGGACGAAGATGACGAGAGGTCAACGTTCGGTAATATTTTTTCGCCGACGTCTGCGTCTGGCGGCTCGGTAGTAGTAGTCGCGCACGCACACACACACACTCACACACATTTCACATGCACACACTAGCGAGCGCTACGGCCGCACAACGGTGTGTGTGTGTGTGTGTGTGTGTGTGTGTGTGTGTGTGAGAACCGCTCACGACACACCCGAAACACGTCTGTCTCACTTTCGGTCCACCGACCGTGTACAGTGTTCGGAGGTGTCGTTCGCTGTTGAGTTCTCCGATAAGTCTCCTCGGCGAGGGACCCACCAAAGAAAACTGACACGCCGAGATTTTGTACGATAATATATTACTTACATCACACTTCTGTTGTGTGGAAATGAAAACCGAAAAGCGTCTATTGCCGTAGAAAAATTAAAAACATTCAATTCCTATGATAAGCTCGTGAGAAGAGAGCTCAAAAACAGAGTATATTTCTACAAATTATTATAGTCCAATTCAGCATGAATTGCACACGATTAACAAACTAGAGTACTTTTTTACAAATTGTAAAGGTATTTACAAATGATCGCTATTAAGAACCCTAAAATGAGGAATTTGTAAAAGAGGACTTCTAGTCTTCAGGGCCTGGGCAAACGTAAACACACAGTAGATCGTATGCAGTCGTTACATTCAGTACGACATGCCGACTTCTATTAAACGTGTCGATAAAACGCACTTTTCCGGAACAACAAAACAAAAAACATAATATTATGACGTCGGTGTGCGAGACGTTTGTGTGCGTGAAAACGTGCGAGCTCGTATGTGTCGGTGCTTGGTCTATAAAATAGTAATAATAATAATAATAATGTGACGCGGTGAATAATTTCGGGTTTTGGCGACTAGACGGTTGCGCGCGCACATGCACGCACACAACAAGGATCCGCCGCCGCCGACGACGACGCCGCCGCCGCCGCCGCCCCTTGTCTGGTCTCGACGTCTGCCAACGTCGCCGCCGCCGCTGCCGCTACCGTTCCGCCAGGCCCATCGTCGCGCACACTGGGAACGAGGTATGAGTGTGTGTGCGTCTGTGTGCTAGCACCGCTCCACTCCTCCCCCCGCGCCACACGTTCTATCGCAACACTGTGTGTTCTTCCCACTCTGTTTTCCGATGCGTGTGCGTCGCCGCCGCCGTCTGCGTGCCCGACCGCCGCCGCCGATCGGGGGCCAGCAGCGCTATTACGTTCGACTCGGTCACGGCACCTCCACCTCCACCGCTGCCGCCGACGCCAACACCGCCGCCGACACCACTACCACCGCCACCGTCACCATCGTCGCCGCCACCCGCCGCCCAGCGCTACTACTACTACTACTACTACTACTACTACTACTACTACAACTACTACGCTACTACTGCCGCCGCAGTCGCACACAGTCATTCGTGTAGTGTACGCGCGCCTGTCAGCGAGTGTGTTCGCTTTGTTGTTCTCGTCCGCGACGTGTTTTTTGTTTTTTGTTTTATCATAACCATATATATATATATATAAATATAAATACTGTATGATGTATAATATATTATTTTACAATAATTTATTGAAATAAAATCGTAACATTTTTTTTTCGTGTTAGTCCGACTGTTTAACGCGCGTGTACCGTGTGTTCCGAGTGTGCGTATTCCGTCTGTTATCGTTTTGTGTGCTCGTTCGTTCTTCTCATACCAAAGGTATTACAATTAAAATTATAAAGTTTGCTTTTTGCACGCGCCATGATACGCGTTTAACCTCAACATTCTATTTTATACATATTTTTCGAATTATTTTTTTTACATTAAATACGTTTAATCGTTTTGGACTCGAGCCGGTATTTGATCCATTTCCGCGAGTGTTTCCGTAGCATGCGCGATTTTCACAGAGCTTCTAACGACCCATACCGGTGTGTTGATGGTGTTGTCGTCGACGTGGTCCCGCCGCGACACATGCCGTCGTCGACACGGCCACTGCGGCCACCGGTGATTGTTGTCGCGCGATCGTCCGCGCACTGCGGTCATGACGTGTCCGCATTCGCCGCGGCGATATGAGTGCCGTCGTCGCAGTCAAGCAGTGACAGGAGCATCACCGAAATCGGTAGCACCAGTAGTAGTAGTAGTAGGAGTAGCAGTAGCAGTAGAAGTAGCAGCAATAGCAAGGGCAGTAGTGCTGTGAACAGACGACCGTGCGTAAAAAACGAGCACTTGATTGTGTGGGCGCGAAGGAGACGACGACGACGACGACGACGACGACGACAACGACTTCTGACGGACCACTCGACCCGCACGGTCGAGATGGAAGACGACCACCAGAACGACCAGCAGGTGAACAACCCGCACATAAACAAAGTGCTCAAAACCTACCAGATGAGTGCGCCCAGGAGCCTGCAGGGACCGAACTCGGTGCTGGACGAACCGTCGGGCGCTGCGGTGGCCGTGTGCTCGCCCAAGGCGCCAATGCCCACCGCGACCGGCGGCGACTCTGAGTCCACCGGTGGTCGGAAAACGCCGGCACCGGCGCCACCACCACCACCACCCTTGCACCCGGTGCTCTACGTGCCTGACCAGTCGGGATGCGAGCTGTTTGAGACGGAGTTGGAATGGGAGAAGATCGCGTGCTTCATGGTGGGCGGTGAGATGCGGTTGTGCCTGCCACAGATCCTTAATACGGTGCTCCGGGACTTCACACTCACCCAGATCAACCAGGTGTGCGACGAGCTGCGCATCTACTGTTCTCGGTGTACGCCCGAACAGCTGGACATGCTCAAGCACTGCCAGATACTGCCGGTAACGGCGCCGTCTTGCGGGCTGATGACGAAGACGAATGCCGAGCGACTGTGTTTCGCACTGCTTCACCGGATCCCGCCACCCGCGGCCCCGGTGCCCGACGACGTGGTCACTTTCTCGTTCGAAGTGTTCCACGATGTGTTCGGTAAGACCCGGGGCGTGTGTATGCCGGAACTGTACACAGAGAAGTTCTCGGCATGCATCCAGTGCGTCGAGTGCAAGGCGCTATTCGCGCCCCAACGGTTCGTCAACCACATACACCGGTTCACGGGCACGAATTCGTGCCACTGGGGCTACAAGCGCGAGAACTGGAAAGCGTACGTCAAGGTGTCGCACGGGCACCCGGACTACGCGCAAGTTGTCAACCTGTTCGAGACGTTCAAGGAGCAGATCGACGATTCGGCCACCGCGCACTTCTCCTCTCGAAAACGAAAACAGGTAAGACAATGATACTAACAACAACAGTTAATCTATCTTAAAGCAAGCAGTCATTATTATTATTATTAGTATCATTATTATCGCTATCGTGGTAAATGTTTTCGAAAATTAACGCTAAGTGCTATAATAGTCAGGTTAATAATATGCCAATACGAATATATATATACAGATGCATTCAAACTACTAAGCCATTTCCGCCTAGATAACGTTATCTGTGTAAACCCTATTCGCCGACTAGTTGTAAAGGGTAGACCCGATTTCGTACGATTAACATTTTTGGAAACAATATATTGTCGAATGACACGGGAATCCTAAAATACGGCACGATTGCATTATAAATTGGCTCCAACGTTGTCAAATTTATAATTAGGTATACAGTTTTCCAAATGCACGTTTAAAAATATGAAATAAAATTTTTTTTTTGCTTACTCAAAAAAATATAAATGATGGTTTTAAGGTTAAAAATTAACTTACGTTTATTTCAAACAATATTATAGTAATCATCAAAATTCCTGGTTAAAAAAATGGTTTTATATGGTTAGCTAGTTCACGTTGTACAGCATTTAAAAATGAACTTGTCAACAAATTATTTTTAATTTTCAAACTATTATTGTATATATTAATTACGGTTTGCTTGCATTTTAAGTCTGATAGATCTATTGAGATTGTATTTTTTTTTGTCATTTTTTCGACTTTGATTTTCGTTAATTTGGATATTGGTGATGTTAGTATACTACTACTATATTACTACTAAGCGTAGGCGTACACCGATCACAAATTTATCAGTATAATGTGGTCGAGCCAAACGCGATCTATAATTTTTCTGTGCCGTGTGTTATCGGGCTGGCCACTACATCAGCAGGTACGTTATCAAGGAACATTGCGATCTCAGACTCAATCATTAGTCATTGGCCTTTGCCCATTGGTGCCGTTGAGTGTTTCGCACGCTACTCTACGTAATATTATAGTTACTAATTTCTCGGTCGTCTACGTACAACGTCATGTCGCATATTATTATTGTAATTTATTTATTGTTGCAACAAGAACGCATTCTGCGGTGCTTCATCTGCGCCCATCGTCTGGTCAAAAACGAGTAGGCACTTGCAAGTACAACTTATTTAATGCGTGATTCGTGGCCGAGTGAGATCCACGTACGGGACGTATGTCGGACACAACGGCGGTTGTGCTCAAGCTCGTCTGACTTTCCATCGCAGAATGTTATTCAGAGTTATCCATTTGTATTTTTGCGGTCGGTCGATTGCTCCGCGACTGGACTATCTCGGATAATACGCACCTACCGTTATCATCGGGGTCCTGGGATATACTATACAAAAAAATCGAAAGAATAATATCAACTTGTCCAGAACGACAACAGCAACAACAATAATACAGACGACGGGCTAAATCGCCGTCAACAGACCGCTCCGGAACAGACCCGTACTTCCGTCGGTCGTCGGCGTTTTTTCGCACGACCTCGCGCGTATTATATTCATATCGTATACCTCTGTCAGTCTGTTGTATCTCTGTTGGTATACCTATACGAGTCGTTGAGCCTATAAAATCGCGATTTTAAATCGGACAGCCACGTACGTTGAACTCGCGCCCGACAGATTTACAGAAACCAACACAAATGTCCACAATCAACACAATTTAATATTATGCGCATGGAGGTGCACGACGATAATAATAATAATAATAATAATAATATATTAATAACATGATAATGGCAATAACGTTATGCACGCGCGCGCCAGTCGAATCGTCCAGACGTGTGTGTGTGTTTTTATAACATCACGTGGAGTGAGAGAGATAGAGTGACGACGACGAGGTCAAATTATATTATTATTATTGTGGCGCGCGCGCATGTGTGTGTGGCGGCTGCGTTGACGTTAGGCTGTTCGTCGTTAGGTGGATGCGTCGGCGGCGGCAATGGTGTGCTGCACACACTCACAAACACACACACACACACACACACACACACACACACACACACACACGCACACACACACACGCACACACACACGGTCGTCGTCAGGGCAGCGGCGCGCAATAACAAACCGTACGAACGAAAAACAAAATCAAATCGTGCGCTCGCGCGTATGTGTGTCGCGAACAAGACGATATTCGTATGCACTCTGGTGTGTGTATGTGTGTGCGTGTTCGACGAGTGCCGCATATATATATATATATATATATGTATATATTTATATATATTATAGCCAAGGACACGACGACGACGCTGCTCGTTCTCGAAGCTCTAAACCACACTCACGTCCGACTCGCCCACCCACCCACCCATCTACACGCGATCGGTCGACGAAACGAACGTAATATTATTACATATTATTATTATTATTATTATTATTATAAAATGCATCCTACATTTGCTACGTGCAATAATGGCGCGCGCGCCATCCGTCTCCGACTGCGACTTTCGTTATCGTCGAAAAATATCGGTTTGTGTGTGTGCAACGTGTCCCCCGCCCACCCGTTCGTGTCTTTTATCTTCCCGGCTCGCGTGGTCGCGTACTACGACGACAACGAGACTATTTGATATTTTATTGTCGTCGCGTTATTGACCGCCGCTGCCGCTTCACACAGGTGGTTTGTCGGGTTCGATTTTTCGAATTATTGCCTATTTGTATTTTATTTTATTTATTATTATTTATTATGTATACAACGCTGACCGAATGCGACTTGTGAACTTGAGTTTGCCACCAACTAGGGAGGGTAACCGATATTATTGTGTTTTTGATCGGCTGCGAGACTGCCAGAGGAACTGGTCTGTTATTTCATCGCGGCAGCGGTGTGACGTCGGCGTTAGTTGATGGCGATGAGAAAACGTTTTCTATAATAATACCTACGCACAATAATATTATAATGACCGACCGGCCGAACGCGTTATCCGTTTCTCTCGATTATTTTTTTTTTCCAACAGAATTCCGCAGTAAATGTTTTTTTTTTAAATTTAATTTATTGTTCCAACATACCAAATGTTTTTACAAAGTTATACATTGTACAATACCTACTATTATACATATGTGTACATGGGTAAACAAAGAAACCTTCGTGTTACTGTCTGGTTGGTCCTCTAAGATGATGTCCTGTGGTAGGCGTGGATTCAGTCTAGGTTATGTTTTTGTAAAGAGGAGCTCTATCAGTTATCAGTTTTATTGAGGATATTGTTGAAGTTTTCGTATGTTACAATCCATTTTTACAAGTAGGGTCGATGTGCAGTTGTTCGTTACACATGATCGAAGGTACTTTGAGTGCTGTTCTTGAAAATTTGATCTGAGTTAGCAATTTTCAATTTTTGTTGGCATAGCGGCAGCTTGTACTGCGCATGTATATAAGTTAGTAGTGGTCTTATAAAAGTGTACATAGCAGCGGAGAACATTACATCTGTAGGTCCAGGTGTGGTTTAGTAGGGGGTAACTATAGGATTTTCATCCTATGTCTCCTTGGTTTAGTTTTTTATTCATGTAGATTTTCCAATTTACTTTTTCGTCGAGATGTATCTCTAGTATTTTACTTAGTCATCCTTGCTGTTCCAGTGGATCTCTTGGTTGTTGATTTGAACGAAAGTTGAGTTAACGAATTTTGTCAAGATAAATACTTTGGCTCTACTTTTGATGTGATTTAGGTTTAACAGTAAATGATTTAACTTGCCGACGTACGAACAACTATAAACCTAGTTATCAATACGAAATAAATTAAAGTACATAATAATTGTTAAATGTAGGTATTCATATCTATTAATATAAAATATGCACTGTAGTATAATATTATTATCATCGTTGTTGCCGTCGAGGGCCTGAGTTGTTGTAGTAGTTGTGCCTTTATTATCCCGCCGCCGCCGCCGCAACTAGTTTTTACTGTAAATCGGAAACTATAAAAACGTTTATCGTCTCATTCATAAAAATCTGACATTATTACCGCAGTATGTAGGTATATTATAATTTATATAATGTAATACGTACGCGATTATATGCACGCGTGTATGTGAAGAATACAATATAATGACGATTTATACAACGGCGGTGCGTACAACAGGTTGGATCGGATGAAAATATTTAGATGCGTAGACCGCACCGTTGTGGTTGGTCGCATGCCGTGCGTGTTTTCTTTTGGAAAGAACATGGTTTCCGCAAAAACGAAAAGAGATTATAGCAAGACGACGATCGCGTGTATGGATCGTCGTCATCGTCGGCGAGTATAAATGGAAGATAATAACTATTAAACCACCCGTTTTGGTGCACCGTTGATATAGGGACGATTAACGAGTTGTAAAATATCGGTTTTCGCCGCCAGTCAGGAGGTAACGTGAACGCGTGCATTCGCACGGTGTCGCTACCGCTGACATTTAAGTAGCATTAGTGGTCACTGGTCGGTCATTATGGCACGAATGATTTTATAACGTTATTATTATAATAAAATAAATTACGTTTGGCGGCTAGACCTGTAGCATCCTACGCTCGCGCTAGACGGCTCTTGAATTATATAATTTAGGGATTAAATCACCTATTGTACAAAAAAAAAAAACTCTAAAAACGGAAAACGTCAATAAAAATGATATCAAAATAAATGAATATCATTTGTATAAAAAATGTATCTGCTTATTCATTGTTTTGATTGGCATTTAATTTGTGATCAAGATACCTTATGAAACCATAATTAAATTTAATCCTCAAGAAAATATTTGTTTTTGTTGTCGGAGAAGAAATTCGTAAATCTGGTGGCTGGGGAAACTCGGCGACGGTGCAATGTTGTTACGGTACGACGCATTCACACCCGACTGTCCCGACTAGAATAGGTAGGGAGGTACGTGAAAACGTCCGGTATAGATCCCCACGCTCAAAATATCTCCTTGTGACGGAAAACGATGGTCGGTGAAGAAATCATATCCGGGACGGTCGAGGGTGTCGGAGTCTAGGATACATTTTTTCCAACATGTTTTTTATATCTGGAGTTGTTTTTTATTTTCCGTTGTTTACGGTTTC